ATTATATATTTATTTTTAAAAATGTATTTTTATTAAATTGTCTAGATTTTCTGCTTTATAAATAAAAAATAATAATCAATTAGGGCTTGCCATAAAACTGAATTGTTTGTTAAATATAATATGTGTTGCCTAAAAGAAAGTAAAATAAGCTTAATATAATAATTGTACCATAGGACAATTAATTCTTAAATTTGACAAATAATTTCTAATTTGGTATGCAATTATTTCTTGAATTGCCAATCATGCACCTGAGCCAGCTCGTTAACACCCCCCATTAAAAACGTCAGCGCACGCCCCTCAATTGAAGTGTAAAAAAATTGGAAGTCATAAAACCGACTAATTGGGCAGATGGATTTGTGGTTGCCGTGGCTCATCGACAACAGGTTGCCAACAACAACCTGAGGCGAACTTCAGATTAACGCATCGCTGCACTGTCAAGTTGTGAACACAATCAATTTATATAGAGTATAGAAATATTTGAATATATATGTACATATATACATGGCAATCGTGCTGTTGGTGGTGTATATAAGTATATAAAAAAACATAATAATAATAATAATAATAATTATGTCATTCAGTAGGGTAAAGATTTCTATTGCCATATGCAAACTACACGCAAGTGGGGTGGGGCCACCCTTGCCTGGCGAAACCACCTCCACCCACCCAGGCGAAAGCGAACCCTGGTGACATTTTTGTGGTTAAGCAATTTACCCTTCAGGGCCGAGGCCGACGCATAATTTATAATTGTCAAAGGAATTGCCCCGGCTAAAGCGCGCAGCGTCCACTGATTTATGGAATTTCATAAATTTTCACAGATTTTAATCGTTTGTAATTATGAGCGATGTGGATGGGGTGGGTCAGCAGCATAAAAAATAAAAATAGAAATACTTTGGCAGTTGCAAGCGCATATTCAATTAAACTTTAAGATAGCTTCACTTATTTGATTGGATTTTTTTTTTTTCGTAGAGGATTTTGCATTATTCTGATTTTTTATTTTCATTTCATTATCTCCACTCATATACCATTAATTTCTTTTCACAACATCCTTTGCATTTTTGTCAGTCTGGACCTTGGTTGAATTTTTTTCTTTTTTTTTTTTTAAAGCTCGAGCTGGTAGCAGCCACAGATTGATTTTGTTATTACGTTTTATTTCCTTGGAGACAAACTGCCCGCCCACAGGACGCAGCTTCCCTCTCACTCTCTGTTCATTTATTTTTTAGTCCAACTTCAAAGAAACTTTTGGCCGTTCAAGTGTCCTTGCGCTCTCTTTGTGTGTGTGTGTGTGTGTGTTCTTGGTCCTTCATGCGGTCGTCGGCTTATGCGACAAATTTTTCAATTTATGTTACGTTGCGTTTTATCGTAAGGCTTCGGCTTCCCAATTTTTTTTTTTGCATTTTTTTTAGCCTTCTTTCGGCCTCATTTTTTTTTTGGCCCAAAAAAAAAACTTGAGGTACGAAGTAGTCGGCACTTTTGCGGCTTTTTCCAGTCAGAGTTTGATTGAGAGGGGGCGACGGAGCTGCTCTGTGCTAGTTGCGAAATTGTGTCGAGGGCTTTCGGTTTGATTTGACAACGTCGACTAGAGGGACGCACAACACGGACGTCAATTACTTTTTATCTCATTTAAGTTTCTTTTAAATTATGTTTAATTATAATTTTCATAATTATGAAATAGGAGAATAGTAATAGTATATTTATTATATTTAATGATTCTGAAATGTATAATACACTATTTTTTATGTCACACTGCATCTAAAAATTTACTTACATAAATTAGTCAAATAAAAAATATATAAAAATGTAATGTCTTTTCAACTTTTATACTACTTAAATTTAATTAATACATAAAATTACTTACATGCAAAACAAGATACATTAATATTAAATTTTTATATATAAATGTATAACCTCAAAATATATGTTATGATAATTTTGCAGAGGATAGCATAAAGTTCCCAAGTATAGACATAGTTTGAGCACTTCGTCCAACAAAAATCAAGTCTTGGATATAATCTAAAACAACATCTTTATATAAAACTTCACATAGTTCAATTGACATGTCAAGTTATAAACCCATTTACCCTGTTTTTCCACTCAAATCAAAAAAATAAACAAAAAAAAAAAAAAAAAAAAAAAAAAAAAAAAAATGTATAAAAGAACTATATCTAAATAAGACTTGTAACTGAAAATTGTGAAACCAAAATTCAAGAAAATTCTATTGCCAAACAAAGAACACGCATAGGCAACATGTCGACTGAGCGCTGTCAATTCTGCGTGAGTGTGCGATCCTTTGTGAAGAGCACGCTCTATGTGGACGCCTATCTGATCGTGTTGGCCCTGCCGCAGTGGATGGTATTGTCGATGCTGGCCTCGAAGGAGCATATACTCTATACGCTCGGCTGCTTCGTGGCATCGTTCTTGCTGCTGAGCGTCATACAGAAGAGCGACACACTCAAGTACCGCTGGCCCTGGAGATGGATGGCCATGGGCTGCTGCTACGAGCTGCTGACCATTGGCCTGGGCACATTCCTGATGAACATCACCTTTCAGCATACCATGACCTTGGTCTCGGCCTCGATGATGATCTGTAATTTGGTCTATGTGATATGCTTCTTTATCATTAACGCCTTTCAGCTGCCCAATCCCTACAAGCTGGCCGGACTGGCCATAGTGGGCCTGCTGCAGGTGTTTGTGCTGTTGGCCGTGTCCACGGTATATTACTCGCCACTTCTGCTAGATCTGGCCCTGTTGCTGTTCGTGCTGAGTATACTGATCATATTGGTGTCTGTGGTGCTGATTTCCTATAATAATCATGGTGTATTGATACGAGACGATGCCCTGATGATGGGCTTTCTGATCTATGTGAACTATGTGCTTATTATGCTGGCCTGCTTCATATGCTATCAACGCTTCAACAGCAACTCAAACAGCAGGCGCAGCAGCTCCAATGCTGGCAAAAAATAAAGGCCGCCTCACCTAATGCCCGTTGACGTGCTGGCATGCAAGGCTGCGGCTCAATAACGCCCACCAGCCAAATACAACTATAATCTATACACACATGTACACCACACACACAAACATACACACGCATATATGCATGTATATATCAGTATAGAGTTGTATTTGTATATGACATAAATGATTCATTCGTTTCAACGGTACGTTGTAGCTGCCTGACTTCTCTTTCCACCTCCGCTCCACCGCTTCTCCCTCCTCCCTCCACCCACCTTTTCCAGGGCGCAGCCTCAATCACGTCGCATTCTCAGCGGGTTCTGCATCCGTTCGAGCTGAATCATTCGCTCTGCCCCTGCAGCTGAGCTGCGTACGTGACACTCGTTTTTGATCTCAAAGTGAATTCTTCTTTTAAATATATTTTAGACTATGTGTATTTTATTTTTTATTTTTATTCAATGCACAAATGCGAACTTTTACATTTCTCTTTGTTGTTATTGAAAAATTTAATTAGAGTTTATATTGTGAATGCATAAATATGAGACCTTCAGCGGGATGCGTATTTTTCTGTGTGTGTCTCATTCTTTTTACAAACTGGCAGATGATGATCATGTGGATTAAATAGAGTAAATCGGAACTATTTTTGGCAGTTGAGTGAGTCGAGGCAAAAATTAGGATAGAGTGAAATAGGCAATTCATAAAACTGTTATTATTTTTAAGATATTTGCATCTACACAAAAGTTTTTGAAGTAAATGTTTGCTATAAAGTAAAATAAGATCGTGAAGTCCTAAAAATATATTAAAATATACTTATACTTATAGCTCGTTTTATACCATTAGGAGTAGAATAATATTTGTTATTATTATTATTTAAATTTTATTTCATTTTGTTTTTATATTATTTTAAAACATTATTTATTAAAAATATC